TGAGAAAATTGAGTTTGAAAAATTGTATCATTTATGCCTATAAATTTTGAACTTAACACGATGAAAATTAGAAACTTTTTAATGATGGTTATAATAAAATATTATGATTGCGCAGCAGCCACTCAAAAGGAATCGTAAAACAAAAATTTCAGTTAAGCACAAAGCCAATTTTACAGCATATAGTAGTCGCATTTGAGGCTCGTTAAACTTGAATCCAGAGATGAACCAATCTTGTCACCATAAAAAAGCGGATAAAGAAGGAAGCCAAACACGGCGGCAAAAACTGCCGAACTTGACATTCGTAGCCAATCCTTGGCCGAATGCAACTCTGGTTTCCCTTGGGTGCAGCCATGATCACTAATCGAAACTTCTTGTTATTTAGATTCTTAAGCGTATATCCAGTGATAACTGGAGGCTGAAAGCAATATGCAGAACTCGTTCTTCAATGAATTAAACAAAACGAGAGTTAAGAACCAACAAAGATACAGACTATTTTTTAAACGCATTCTATTATATAAATAGTGCAATTCATCCTCGTTAATCTTCTTGGCCGCTCATAGCACGCAAGAATTGACCCATTTATTACATAAACAAATATATTACCAATCTAAGCATCAGTTAAATCAAACTATTCTAAAATTATTTGTTCAAGTGATCACACTATTTAAATAGCGCTAGAAGTCTAGCGTTACTCGTTACTCGATGCGGTAGGAGTCATGTAGGGCGGGGCAGAGACATTTGTTTATTTAGCCAGCAGCGCGTGTTAACTGCAAAGAATAAACCTGCTTGAGCCAACCAGCCCGGCGTCTAGAAAGGGAAAGTGGACGCTCATGTTCCAAGTAAATATCCGTTACGAAATAATGATTATTGGCTGAATAATTAAAAGGCAGATATTTGCAGAAAAATTTGGTAAATCGTGCTTTGTACGCGTGCAACTGTGAACTCAGACTCGATATGCTACTGATAAAATCTTTAGATACGGAAAACCATGGAGATAAAAAATCTATGTGAGATGAAAAATAGATTCTATTTATAAGCATAATATTTCCATAGTAATATTTCCGTCCATCAAGCACCTGAATATGACGCTGTAGAGTGTTCATATTTTCTAGTATTAATATCAACGTCATCGTGCAGTATGTAAATATTCCAACATGTTACTCGCATTTTGTGGGAATCAATATATTATTATTTTATTTTATTATAGTATTTTTTACTAATTATACCTGCAATCGTTCACACAATGCGTTGTTCATAAGCTGTGACCACCTGTTTGACATTTACTTTAATGTTTAGCAGCAATTATAGAAGTATTTTCAGTTATAAATAAATAAGATAAAAATGAGCTTTGATCGATTAGTAAAAGATTATAATAAGATACAAACGTATCAGTTTGTTGTGCACCAACATAAATGTTGTACTTTAAGAATAATACATCAACGAGTTTGAGTACGTTGGGCGTCGCCGAGATGGTCCGACGTAAGCGATTTCTCCTCCCTTTTTTCTGTAATAAATTCACGTGGATGGGCCTTCAGCTCACGTTAACGAACACAGAGCAGTCCGAAATTCATATATAACTCCTAAATACCACAAACTCTTTAGAATCAATAATGGCGTACGGATGAAATATCTCTGGGTGCTTATTATATACTATGAGTTAGGAAATTTAATATGATGCATATCAAAAGTAAAGTAAACATTGAAGAATCAGGTAGGTACACGTAATGTAATGAAGCGTTTTCTTTTCCATGCTTAAAAAGATTTCAAATGGAATTTAAAAATGAATTTTGCAGGTATAAAATATATCAACGCTAATAATCGCTGTTAATGTTGCTAGTTTGCTCCGGGCTTCTTCAAAACGAACATTCGAAAGGCATCATTAATAGTTCGATTTTCTTGTCAAAAAAATTTTCAAAAAATCGTATGTACCTCTAAGAAACGCTGCGGGCGATGATATAAAATGGGCAAAATTGGCTTAGGTTTTGTACCGCGGATGCAAAACTGAATGGCAACCTAAAAAATGCTGGTGACATAGGGCGCTGCTAGTTGGCATGGAGACCAATGGCGGCACGTAGAGCACGCAACAATTATCGTTAACCAAATTTAGAGCCTGCAACCGAATTGTTCGCTCTGAAAAATATAATGCGTATTGTAATATATCTTGGCAAGAAAAGATAAAAAAAACATAATCATTATCTCGAGTATTGTTAAAAGATTGAAATTTAACTACACTCTTACCTGGCGAGACAACTTTTCCAACACAAAATGAGACAGTAGCCCGCAAGACGCAAAAGTTTTGCGTTTAAATAAAACATTACACAGCCGGACACTTTAAAAATAAAAAGTTGCTCGTCTTAGATGTGCATATTAAACAAATTTACTAATTTATCTTACCTCATATTTCGGCCAAAATTTTTCCTTTGAAGATAAAATTTAAAATGATAAAATTAAAGCATGCAAGAAGCTCGCAGGCATTTGCAAAGGCCACTTACCGAATGCCACAAGAAAATTACAGGTAAAAACTATACAAGCGCATACGAACAGAAACTCGTAAACTATAAGGAGGATCGAGTTCCGCTTACCAAAAATACTAGTACCTGATGTAAATACCGTGTTATTAAAATTAAAAAACTTGAATTTTAATAGAAACTTATATTATTATTTGTGAGTTCATGCGTTTGAATTTATTTATATAATTTAAAGCTTTTCAGCTTGAAAAAGCAAGTCGAAAACAGCAAGCAATTGTACAAGTTTCTGCCGACAACAAATATACATAAAACATGAAATACAATAGACCGTATTTATAAAACAACATGCCACGGAGGTCGTGCAAGTAGTGCAGGGGCAGGGCTGCGATGCAGGTATAAAAACTGGAGCAGGTATAGGGTATGAATCGAAGATGGGCATACCGAGACGCGGCCCCATACTGAGATGCCTGCTGATTGCACGAGTCACAAGGTCATCTTTATGATGCTTGCTGTGTGCAAATCAGTCATTGGTGACAAATTAAACTCATGGCTTTTTATTTTATTTTTGAATGAAACGGAAATTAGTTTCATTGATACGGAATGGAAATTAGTCTTATGAATAGGTGGAACTATGTCTTGCAGGAAGATTTATAGCAAATTTATCCAGACATGAAATTTATCCAGACCGTATTTAGAGCAAATTTATCCAGACATGAAGCGAGCATGTCCAGCGTGAAATAATTTTCAGCTGGAAGACCTGTCGCCAGAGAAAACAGGAGTATAAGGGGAGAAATTCTGAAGTGTGTTTTAGGACACAAGTGACGATATGAGCAGGATAAATTGAAAATTAACTATGAATTTTTGAAAGTTACTCAGATTCCTCTTAGGGAAATTTACAAGAAAATAATTTTAATAAAAATTATAGCAAAACAATTTCTTCAGTGAAGAAAAAATAATGGCATTTCATTGTACTAATTCAAGTTTTTTTAGAATTATTGAGAAACATATTGCTACTCAAGTACAATTACATTAAAGTCTTACGGGAGAAATTATCTCCTCTGTGTTCTGAATTGAAAATGTTAAAATTATTTATCCCTGTCTATTTGAAAAGGCAAGTACTCAGCTGAGTCACATTTATCTTAATGAAACAACATGAGCATTTATAATTGTCTAATAATGCATTTATATTTGATTTTGGGTGTACAGCGACAGTTTATAATTTTATCAAATTATCTTAGTCACTCGCTGCGTTTTAATTTATTGTGAGAATTATAGTTGGATATTCTCCGTGAAAATTTATCTCTGAAGGAAATTATGGTAAGCAGTTGATGCCACGTAAAGCGATTTTTTAACGATCAATGTTTTTTATGACAGACCTTTAATAAAAGCGATTTAATGAAGAGAAAAATTTTCGAGACAAGTCAGAAAAGGTATTAAGGTAGAACAAAAAATCTTTTCCTTATTCGAATGATACAAATTAGCAAAAAAAACTTACAGGATGGCCGCATGTAATGCGTTTAAGATGATCGAGTTATAACCTCTCACTTGCTAACGGAATTACTTCCCATCTTTATTTGGCTAAGGTAAAGATAAAATATGTTAAATTTTGAATAGATAGGTTAGAAAAAGCTGAGAAGTTTGAGAAATTTATGGGAACATACTAACCACCTAAAAATCATGATTGTGTGTTAAACGGAAAATGTTATCTAATTTTCAAAATACCGTACTCACCCTGCCAGATTTTTAAAACTCAGTACAAAAGGAGAGATACAATAACTAACAAATGTCGAAAATTAAACAATATCCATTGATGCCAGAATTATTGCAGTTCTATGGCACATTTACTCAGAGGAAGAAGCGCTGAGTAACCTTTAGCAACCGAGTGCCCAGAAACAATGTACAGTTACAGCGCAGGGTGACCGAAGCATTAGAGACGACGTCTGTCGCTACCAATCTCAGAGACATACCAAGAGAATTGCTCAATATATAGAAAATAATTCCTTAAAAATAATAAAACCAGCAATTAAATTGAACGCGCTGCGGCCCAAAATAAGATTATCTTTTGCAGTTGAGGAGCATGAGCGTTAAGACAATGAACAATTTGTAAGTTTATTAGATTCAAGAAACCTGATATTATCAATAGTGAGAAATGAAAACATGAAATGTCAAAAGGAAGATAGCAAAAATACTCTATGAGGCTCATTGAGTCGTCCCATGGTACATGAGTAGTAAAACTAAGGTTACAACACAGGTTTGCAGAGAAAAACACGGCAAAAAAGCTCCACAAATCCCATTAAGCTGATTCGTTATTTATAACACAACAGAACTTTAAGCAAGCACCAAGCGTCCCGTTAAAACTGTTAGGCACAACAATACGTTCAATCCAAAGCACTTCAAATCCAGCAATAACGAAGCGATGTACGGCGACTCCTCGAGATCCACAGAAGAAGCGTATTCCTTATCTGTATATTATTAGACAAAGACTCTCCGAATAGGTCACAGCACGCGCGAGAGCACCCTAGATTCACCCACCAGCAACAGCAGTTTCATGTTGACAGCGTGAGAGTCAAACGTTTACTGTGGCGTTCCGTGACCCTGCATCAGCTTTTATAGTCCCGGGACCGTGGCACCTGACCGAGAGCAACTCGAGCGCTGATTGGTCCACGGGCCGGTCAGTGCCAATGCTTAGAATTCATTGCTCTCGTCAGATTGGCTCTTCGCAAGAGGGCAATAAGTAGAGCAATATTTACAAGTAATTCTAGCTCCTTGTTCTGAACATGCTAAGGTGTCAGAATGTCAGAGAAATAATAAGTATTCGCTTACAGTTTTTCCAAGGTAATTATGCAGGCATTGGCTTGCTCTTGATCTCTTCATAGTTGAGGTCGAGATCGAGAAAAATCAAAGGGCATACCAGGACAAGATATGCGAATATTAATGTCGTTAAACGCAATAAAAACAAGCTGTTTGAATATTGAAAACTATAGTGTTAGAGTACCGAAATAGCTGAAATATTTTTTAATCTTGTCTCTCAAAAATAAAGAAAATTATCCGAAACAATACACATTTTCCAGTGCGCATTGTTGTACTTCTGATTTTTTTAAACGAATTTTAATGTTTTAAAATCAATGTTAGAATTATTACCTTCCATCAACTCATCACCTATTCATCTAAGTTTGGCCAGCAAGTTCAACTTGAATTTATGAAAAATTCATTCTTTTCTTAGTGAATATTGATTTTTGAGGAATCAATGGGAAAACCTGCCAGGTTATAATATTAGTGCGAATTTAGATATAAATTTTATAGTTAACATCCAATACATCGATCTGTAGATTCTAAAACGCTAGTTAATTTCTTCATGAGATCCCAATTATTTTTAAGTAACTAAATTTCTATGTTATGATCAACCCAAAAGGATTACTAATTAAGATTTCCTTTCTACAGTCGGAATCGGTTTTTCATCATCAAGCACGCAGACTACTTCATCGATGCAAGTCAGAAATTGTATTTGAGTTTAAAATCATTCGAGTATACAATATGGCAACTCAGTTTAAATCCGCATACGAATCTTATTCTTAATTCTCAAAAAATGCACCTCAGCTAAAGCAATGAGAACTTAAATTCTTGCGCTGACAAACGTGAAATCTTAGGATGAACTCTCGGCCCACCGCAATTCATACCATAAATTACCAGGCACTAACCTGGTCAAAAGCACTTTATGGTCTTGGATGAAGGGTTGCCGCCGCTGCCATATCCTAAGATCCAATCGTTATGAAAGGAAAGCACGAAATGTTGCGGACGCTTGCCGAGTAGCGAAATTCTGAGGTGAGCATCACTTTTCGGCGAACTGTTAGGTGATGCAGCAAGAAATGGACATGACTATAAGACAAAAGTGTGTGGTGATGCAGCAAAATGTAAGCAGCACCATAAGGCAAAAACGTGACGTGATGCAGCATGCGATGATTATCATCACCCTGAGGTGAAATTATGTGGTAATGCAGCAAAATGTGAGCAGAACCATAAGGCGAAAATGTGAGATGAAGCAGCATGAGGTGGGCATCACCACAAAACGAAACTATGAGGTGATGCAGCAAAAGTTGAGCATCACCACAAAACCAAACTATGAGGTGATGCAGCAAAAGGCGAGCATCACCATAAGGCGAAACTGTGAGGTGAGCATCACCATAAGGGAAAATTGTCTGGTGAAGCAGCAAAAGGCGAGCATCACCACGAGGCGAGAAGGCCACGTCAAAGGTCGCAAGTCACGAGAGTGAGAACTTTGCTCGAAATGTATCTGGATTACTTCAGGATAAGTTCAAATAAAACAAGGGCCCGTGGGATAAGCTTGGAATTTTTTAGACACACAAAGGGAAATGTTACTAGTTTGTGACATGCCTTGTAAAAAGTTGGTTTATTAGGACAGTTAACAGTGAACTCGTCGTCTAATATGACTTCTAGATAACGTACTTTGCTTTCATTTATCGGGGCTAATAGAAGCGCAAAGGACAGTCTTCATCAAAAATATTCTCTTCTCTACTCTATTCTGTTTGTCATAATTCTATGATATGCTAGATTTTATCAGCTCGCTCAAAAAGTCCAATGCATTCTTTGCAATATTTTTAGTCCACAGATATGGTTACTTAGGTTCTAACTAATTTGTGATCAAATTCAACGTCGCGAAACCTTTGGTATAATTAGGCAACCATGATGGTCTGGTATCCTGGAAGTATTCAATGATCAACTTTTTTAACATAAGTTTTCAATTTTAAGCATCATTGTGTTTAACTATCATTCATTACCGTTAACTCATCAAAGTACCATGCTACACACGTTTGACAATTTCTGTAGTAGAATAAGGATCAATAACGTTGTACAGGGCCTATTTGTGCAGCATTATTTTTTAAATATCAAAATACTAAAACATAAACCTTCGTGAAACCTAGCTTATACACTATAAAATAAAATATAAAACCAATTTAATTAAGAAAAGTTCACCTTCAGATTTAGTGCTCCTGTTGCTGGCTTAATTGAGATCTTCACAGTAACGATGCGCAATCCATCGAGGGAAAAAAGCTTCTTGTTTTGATGATCGCAGAACTTCCATTTCCCTTGTTTGGTATTAGAGTGGTTATCCCTGGTGCTTCTCATCTCTCGTACAAAATAAACAGGTTATCTGCAGCTGCTGCGGGAGGGTGAATCCGAGGACGAGTTTGTTCTGAACACAAAGAAGCTTGGCATAATTACTACGACTAAAGATAGTGCGCAGCATGAAGCAAATCATCTCTTATCATCTAATTGCATAGGAAACAGGAGAACACCCTGTCAAATAATGACTTAAAAGGAAGACCCAGCGACAAATCCAACCAAGAGAAGGAATCATTTCACCTCCACTACGATATTTAGGAATATATGTTGCGATGCCCCATAAATGTTTTGCTGTTGAGTGAGGGTTCAACAGCTAGTGAGTATTGAACATAATCACCGCTCTAACACGAGGACAAAAACTTTAAAATGAGGTTGATATCTAACACAGGAGGGGACAGTCATTTCCGCGTTAAAAATTCATGAGAGTGGATGATGTGTTAAAAAATTCATTTGCAAAGATATTTGCAAATCTTACCAAAAAAAATTTGAAGAAATGAGGTTGAAATTGGTTGTGTGATTAAAATCTAAATTATCAAATTCAAACAAGATTTTTCAGCCATGTGAACAGAAGTTCAATCCACAAAGACTGAGACAAATTCAAAGGGCTCAGCAGTAACAGAACCGCGCTCGTCTGGCATGCGTTCGTTGAATTTGTCATCCTTCACGGCTTGTCGAGAACCCTTTGTTTCGAACGGAGGTAGTCAAGAGCAAAAATTGTTATTTATGAACAAATATTTGAATTACTTCATTTTACTAAATAAGCATTTTAAATCCACGCGTCAACTACTAATTAAAAATTATTAAATGATTTTAGGGATTACAGAAACGAATCTTTTCATGTGTAAACGAATATTTTTTTTCAATGCCACGCAAAACATATCAGATATCCAACCATATTTTATCCAGTATAAAATCAAACCATAAACTAAACTAATGATCATTTGAAAATATCTTATATGCAAAAATAATGTTATTTGTTGTTTAAATACTAATAAGCACAGAGCTACAATTTACATCGGAATTTGATTCATCATCGCATGACGTCATAATTCCATGATATAATTTTTTACCGGTCATATAAAACAAGAATTTCGGTGCCGTCAACATAACTAAGTCTTAGCGAGCAGCTACACCGAGAACCTGGCTAATACCTTTATTTGAATAAGTGAAAGGCATGATAGGCAAATGCCTACACGGGAATAAATTTGATGTCGGCCATTCGGCCTCTAGGTCAGCTGGGAAAGACGGGCATAATGTGCCCTAAAATATGGCCGCTGGTCAGCGTTGTTGCATCGGGCACAGGTTCTTCTATACTGGAAGAGCAGAAGTTAAAATCTTTCATGTTTTGGTTTTTATTTTAATACGCACAGCCTTAATAGATCTGGTCCAGTAAGTAAACTGGAAACAACTCTGATGAAATCAGCTGTGAATTGGCATTATGGCATTAAAATAACGTTGATTAATGTTATTTCAACAAAATCAACTTGTATTCAATGTTGCTTCGACTTCGTTTGCGTGAAGGGGACCTACGAAAAAATCGAGTATCTTGTTTTCTCTGATCTACAATTGTGGTTTGAATGAAAATTTCCTTAATCGGATGAGCAGAAGAGAACGGGAGACAAGGCGTGTTCCCTTTCAGGCGCTATAAAAATACTAATAGGTAATTATATAATGCATAGAATAATACTAATGCTCAGAATAATTTTACTAATGCGCAGAATGATAATACTAATGCTTAGAATAATAAGAATAATGCTCTAATAATATTACTAATGATTAAGCAAATGGAACTTTAGCAGTCGGCATAAAAGGCGCTATTTTGGGAACTTAGGTTCAGTATCCGCGAGAGATGCAAATCATATACCTGCATTGTTACTACTCAACATTATAAAATTTATGATTCCATTTTTATAAAAATATATAAAATTGTAACACATATCACTTGTATCATGGCTTCCAAATCTTTAAAGAAGAATTAAAATAAGATCCTAAGAATTACAATAAGTGTCCGCTAGTTTACGGGTACTTCTCCAAGCACGCAAATGACGTAGAAACAACGTTGATTACGAGTTTATTTTTCTGAAACGTCGCTTAATCAACGTTATTTCAACGTTGATGATGAGCGAGGTTGGAGACCGCTAGCGGTATAAGCTTTTTATATAAATAGAAGTTATAAAAGAAATATGTTAAAAATGGAAGCTAATTTCGTGAAATGTTCAAGGCTTTTTATTCCTTTACTTTTACAATGAAGCTTATTTTAGTATTTATGTTAAAATTCTAACATGTATGAAATTTTGAGGAAAAAATTTGCAGGTATTGCGGCACTACTAGTAAATAAAATTTCCTTGTATGTTTTAGTTTGAATGAGGGATGAATAGTTAACAATCATTCTAACAGAAAAATCATTAATTAAATTGAAATATT